TTGAATCGTTTCTTGAGTGCTTTGTGACATCTCAATGCACAACAGCCCTCACACCCTATATTCCAAGCCACCCTGAAACCCTGGTGCTGAACACACATAATAAAACATTTTTAAAACCACACCAACCGAAGTCCATCCATCAAATATTACTGCCATACACGTGGGAGGGGGTTGACAGTTGTTTATGCACCTAGAGTGTGATATTTGAGACTTGGTTTATTCTTGGGCATTTCTGGCTGAATTCTACCTTAAAAGATAGTCTCAATCCTGGGAATTCCCTCTTCACATATGACAAACTCTGCTCTCAGGATCACAAACACCATGAAGGCCCAGAGCCAGAGTTTTGAATTCTTGCCCTGATGAGCTTGGTGGATGTGACAACGGTGGGGCTGATGCACAGACCACACACCTACAGAGCCAGCCAGGGACACAGCGGGGTCTACACCAGCCAGGTATCCAGAGAAAAGCCTTCTATGAAGTCAGCCCAAAGGCCAGCCAGGCTGAGAGGTGGTCTTTGGGGCCAGAAGCCCAGCTCCAGCCCTTTCTTGATAATGACGTGGGTGAGCGAAGAATGGCGGCACCAACCGAGTGTCTTCATTCACAAGAGGCAGCACACAGGGTAGCTAGCCAGGTTACAATTGCTGAGCTGGCCTCCCTCCAGGGAACATTAACATGTGCCACAGCTGCCCAGATGCTTTGACATGTTATTAACATATTAGCTCATTCAACCCTCTGTATCCCGTGGACTCACTCCGTCCTCTCCGGACATTCTCCTGTTAATGGGAAGATCCAGGGGATCAGGAGCTCTTGAGCCCTATTCTATGGCTGGTAGGCAGTAGGACCAGGATGGGGGTGGCATTTGGTCATGACAAGGTGACCGTGCTTTTCAGCAAAGTCTGTGTGGCCTTTGCAGCTATGACCTCCAAGCCCCAGAACCAAGCTCTGCTATCCATTCCTTTGTTAAATGGGGAATAATTCTACAGTGCTACCCACTACAACAGTTTGTGCTGAAGATGAAAATTAATACTGTCCAGTGATACTTGGCCTATAGTATCTAGTTTGATAAATCATTATTTTTCGGTTCAAAATTGGAAGTGACAGAAACATGAATCTCAATTTATATTAGGTTGAAATTCCTTTGTCCATAAACACAGGTTGGACCAACTAAAAATAGCAAACTGCTTCTATTGATATTCTTTTAAAAGCTCTTTCTACAAGGTAAATGTCACAGGGCTGCTCCAGGACACCCTTGGGTTTCCATCACCATTAATGTGGGAATGCATCTGGCCACGGGCGTGAGAGGTTAGCAGTAAAGTTCATAGTCAGATCTCTTTGAGGGATACTTTGTTTTTCTGAACATTGGGGAGAAAATCAAATTTCCCTCCTCCTTCCTTACCAGGGCCAATCAATTTATTGGTTTTCCAACGTGTCCCACACAAGCCCAGGTGTGGGGCATGGGTGGAGCCCCCATCACAGCTCTTTGAGGAAGGGCTTACCAGCCCTGCCTCCACAGGGGAGCCTGCATCCCCACAGGTTCTATGACTTGGTCAAGTCTCGCACTCAGTGAATGATGGTCCTGGGCCCCAGCTCCCTGCCAGCTCCCTCAAATGTCCTCTGTGCAGTTGGTCAGACTTTAGAAATCTTTGGGCTCTGAAAAATTGCAAAACTTTTAATATTAAAACCACTTTGGGGATGAAAGATTTGGAAAAGTTAAAATCACACATGTTCTTATACCCCTGAGAGTAAGCAGGCCGACCAGCATGAGCTGAGGTCATCATTCCTACCTTGCATCATTGCATTTCTCTCTGGGGTGGGGTGGCAGGATCCCCTCCTTCCACCCAGGATGCTCCAATTGGCATAACTTTGAATATTTTTGTCTGTTTACTCAACATTTTTGCTGAATCATTACAAATTACAGACAATATCTTTCACCTAATTTTTTCTGTATATACTTCCAAGAAGTAAGATCTTTTCCTATCTAACCACCACCATGGTCACATCTCACAGCACACGTGTCCCCTAGTGAACCACTTACATTCAAGTTTCCCCAGTTGTCCTAGACATGCCTTTTACAGGCTGGTCAAATTCTCTTTTGAAATAACTGGTGTCTGAGGGCACACCCTCCTGCAGGGAATCAGAAAATTCTTGGGGGTCCCAATCAGAACTCATGAAAACACAACAGAACTATGACTCATTGCCACAATCAAGACATGGCTAGATTCAACCTGCCCTCCATGGCCAGCATCAACTTCACACTGATCATGCTTCAAGAATCATCATTTAGAGGGGCCTCCCCGGTGGCGCAGTGGTTGAGCGCTGGGTTGCGAAGCTGCCCGCGGCCTCTGCGGTGCCGGTTCAATCCCCGGCTGCTCCCTGGCCACCGGAGGAGGGTCCCACATGGCGCGCAGACCTCTCCTGCCGCCCGCTGCTCCCCTCAGCAGTGTACCTTGGTCCTTCTGCCTGCTCTGCTCCCTGCTCTGGCTCTGGTGAATTCTCTCACCCTCCCGCGCTTCTGACTGTACCCAGTGCATGTACAAACAAATAAATAAATAAAATGCCTCTATTAAAAAAAAAAAAAAAAAAAAAAAAAAAAAAAAAAAAAGAGTACTGTGCTAGGACTCAAAAGAATAATTTAAAAAAAAAAAAAAAAAAAAAAGAATCATCATTTAGAGCTCTCTCAACCCCAAAGGATTATAGGCAGATGCACTGGTTTGCTTGGGCTGCTGTAACAAAATACCCCACACAGACTGGGTGATGTAAACCATAGAAACTAATTTTTCCATAGTTCTAGAGGGTGGAAGTTCAAGACCTAGACATTGAAGGGTTTGCTTTCTCTTGAGGTGTCCCTTCTTGACTTCTACATGGTCTTCTAGCCATGTCCTCACATGGTCTTTCCTCTGATGTGTCTTAATTTCTTATTGATTATAATTAAATAGGATTTATTTATATGATTATTAAAGACAATAATCAGATTGGATTAGGGCCCACCCTAATGGCCTCATTTCAACTTATTTACCTTTTTCAGGACCCCACCTCTAATTACATTCACCAGCTGAAATATTGGGAGTTGGGGTTTAACATGTGAATGGGGTAGGGGGGGCATATAATCAGGCCATAAGAGCTAAGTTCTAGGCCTCCCCGGTGGCTCAGTGGGTTGAGCGCAGCGCTGTGAAGCTGCCCGCAGCCTCTGCAGTGTGGGTTTGATTCCCGGCCAGCCAGGGAGATACCCATATGGCACAACAGACCTCTCCTGTCTCCCCTGCTGCACCCCTTAGCAGTGCTTTCGGTCAGTCTGCCTGTTCTGCTCCCCACTCTGTCTCTGTGAATCCTCTCGCCCTCCACCACCTGTGGCCTTGCCCTAGCTCTCTCTTTTTTTTTTTTTTAAAGAGCTAAGTTCTTGTTTCCACTCTACTTCTGTTATTATAGAACAGAGGGAGGTGCCGGTGGAATGCATTGTCTGCCTGGGGATAAAGTCTATAATCCTGCAAACACACGGGAGGTGGTTCCACATGCTATCCCAGCCCTATGAGTGTGTCTGAACCATGTATTGGGAACCACACCATCAAGTTTCCGGCATAAACAAAACAATCACTTCCATGGTGCTTCTGAGAAGTAAATATGAGTTTTAAAATACGAATCATGTGTTGAACACAGCCACTAATGCACACAGCCAATAAGTCTCACTAATGGATGGCCTAAAAAATGAATTTATAGCTAGTCTCACACAATGAAATATGCATGCTCTTTATAATTACTAACGATTTAGAGTGGATCATTCCCTCGCTTAGTCAATGGAGTTTTCACATCTTTTATCTTGAATTAAACAAAATGAAGTCGTATTGATGGTGTGTAACCAAAAGGAAAGGCAGAATAAAGTGGGTTTTTTTTAAGGGTTGGGTTGCACATGATTGTTTTAATCAGGATTTCTCAATTTTTGTATTGCTGACAACTTAGGAAGCTTTAGAATAAATGTTTGACTTGTGGTGCTCAAATGCAGGCAGGGTAGACATTTCCAGTCAAATGACTGAGTTACAAAGGTTTGATCTTTGTGCCATTTTGAATTTAAGTACTTAGATCTTCAAAATGTTTCATTCACAAAGCTGTTCTGTTTTGAGGATGTACACAAAGCAATATTAAATTCCTCTTACAATGTCCTCTGTATTAGTAGCTTGGAGTATCCACTTTAGCTTCTTCAACACACACTCACACACACTGATTCTCTTAAAAGTAGCTAAGAGTCTAAAAAGCCTGGAAAGCAAGTTTGATTCTAGGATTATTTTGGAAAGTCTCATATTCTTTTGCTGACTGGAAAATCTGGGGCCAGTGCAGACCCAGGTATGTATGATAGGTCTTTGGGCACCTCTTTTACTTGGTAGAATATTTGCCATTGTTGATTGTATTATCCTATCTAATTTCCCTTTCTGTGAAGTCCCTTACCTAGAATTTAAGATTGTCATTCCAGTACCCAATTCTGTAATTTATAGTCAGCCATGAGGGTTGGTATAGCAAGAAAAGTTTTGTGATAGGGGCTTCATTTACATTACTGAATTATAAGGTATGGGTTAGACCTTAAAGTGTAGATCTCCTGGTAATGGGATAGCCATGAAGAATTGCTGAGTTCATAAAAACAGTAACATTTCTTACCTGTATCATACAAATCATTTTATGTTCTAACATTATACATACACACATAGCCACACACACATACACTAGCCAAAATGTAATCTAATTCCAATCTGATTTGCATTAGAGAAACAGGGAGAGTAGTGTGAGCAGCAGTGCAGGTGTTTGACCCTGGGACCAGCCACGCTAGGTGGAGGCTTTGATATCAATTTATTGCTGATGACCTTTGAGGAGCTCCTTCCTCCAAGAACTTGCTGGCTTTTTATGGGTCTTTGATTGCCCTCTCAAGTTGCCTGGCAAATAATGGAGTCTGTCAATCAACTACCTTCCTAAAGGTCACTTGCCAAGGTAGGGATGGGTAGGGGAAGATGGGGCTTCCCAAGGCCATTCAGAGCTAACAGGACAATGTGGTGGTCCCATATCCAGGCCCTGCATCAGACAGACCACCTTTAAGTCCTGGCCCTGTGACTTACCACCTGGGAATGAGGAGGAATGAGTACAAGCCACAGTAAGTACATACTGCATAGGGAAGTGAGGGTTAAATGAGGCCAATATTTGGGCCTGTCACTTTCAATGGTTTGGGCTGTGGTCATCATCACAATGGCAAGGCTTTTGTGGGCTCTGCTTTGTGGAAATTTAGCCATGGTTTCATACAAGCAAGGTTGACAGCTGAGTTAGGGAAATCAACTTGTCGATGGTTAACTTGACCCTCTTTTGCTCTATTCCCACTCATTTTGTGCTGTGTAGATACACAAAACACAAAGAATTAGAGAAGCTGTCATTTATTAAGTGTCTGCAAGACATGTGAAGCCTTTCAGAAAACTCGAGAATACCAGTATACACAAATTAAGCATCATGCCCTAATGCCCATAACTAGAAGAGTTTCACTTTTTGACAGAGCGGCAGGTCAGTGACTGGCCAGCCTGGTGGCCACCTGCTGATGGGTGGAGAGTGACTGGCCCTGCCAGGTGGCCTGTGCAGCAGCCCCTGTGAAAGCTGGACTATGATTGGATCGGCTCTGGATTTGGGGCCTTCACTCTCTCCGCATCTCCCAGGGAGAGAAAGCTATTTTCCTTCCACAGTGAGGGGTGAATAAAACAGAAACAAATTATTTTTCTACCACACAGACCTCAGGGCAAGTCAAGAGAAGAGATATAGAGAGCCAGGGCCATCCAAGCTACCAAGTCCCCAAGCTGGCATCTCAGCAGTCCCTCATAGCCTGGGCCTCTGCGGAGTCTGTTCCTGCACCTCAGGAGGCCTGCAGAGCCCCATTTATCAAGGTAAAGCCTGCAGATTTGCATGTCTGGCTGCAGGGCCAGCTCCCTGCAGCTGCTTCCCTGTCTCAGAACAGCCACCACACTGCATACAGCAGTTGCCAATGGCAACTCAGCCTCACTCTGTAGAGGCTTCTCTGTATTTGAAGGAAATGCCACCAACCGTACATGCATGGGTGCCACTGAGGGTCCAGGGGCAGCTCTGGGGCTGCCAACAGCTTCCTGGGCAGCTTTTTGATGTCATGAAGCCCCCTGCACCGGTCATTCCTTCCTGCTTGTCCTGAAGACTTGCTGGCTTGTGCAGGTCACCTCTCCCCTGCCCTCCCTGATCGGGGTTTCTGAAGAGATTTGATTTAGGGCCCTCATGTACCTTGGCTGGTCACATGGGAGCAGTGCATTTGGAGGAATTGAGGAAAGATTGACTTTTTATCATTTTTCTTGGCAGTATACTGGTGTCCCAGGGGTTATTCTGGGACAAAGGGGGAGAAGCGGGAAGGCAGGGAGCAAGCGCGTGGAGGTTGAGGGAGAATCCCCTACTGATGGTTTTGATGGTGGGGAATAGTTACCTAAAAGCAGAGCCAATGCACGTCAGCAGTAAGGGTTATTTTTATTCTCACATAATGAAAAGGCCAGAGGGAGCTGATTCCTGGGGCTGACTCTGCTGCCCAGTGGTGTGTGGACACAGAGTCGGTGCCTCTGCTACGTTCTGAGTCCCAAAGTCCAGGGCAAGGGTGAGTCTCCTTCCCTTATTTCTCAAGGAGGAAAACCTTTTCACAAAGACCCTCAGGGTATTTAATGTCTCTGGCCTAAATTAGATAGATAATGGTGGCTACCAACGGATCCAGAGCAGCTAGACATGGAGTTTCTGCCATTTTCGGCTCTATTTTTAACCTGACTATCACTTATAAGGACCTGAGTGCTAGCACCATCTTTTTCCCCTGCCCCCCCAAATACTCTTAAAAAGCTTTTGCAAATGCATATATTTTCCCCACACTATTCTCATGTATATATGCTTATATATACACATGCATATACAAAAATTCTGTGCCAAATGTGGGTTATATAGTCTTACAGGAATCAACTTCATCTTCCACAAGGCAGCAAGCTCACAGTATACATTGCTGGGTGGCAGAATTGCTGGGTGGCCTGTTCCCTTGATTAAATCATACAATTAAGACCTAGGATCTGCTATTAATGTAAATGCTCCAGCAAAGTAGTCATCACAGTGGTGAGAAACCCTGGCATCCCCCCTGAGTCCTTTCATCCTCAGGCAAGAAGCCCAGCTTAAGATGGAGATCTGTTGATAGTGTGTGACCAGAAAGTGTTTCAGAGGAATTACAGAAATAGCTGGAATGTAGAAACTATTTCTGAGATTTTATAAACCATATCACCGAATGAAAGAAACCTAAAGAGATCCAAGGAAGGAGAAAGCAAGCTACAGAACCTTGACAGATGAAATAGCTGAAGCTCGAGGGATAATGCCTGGCCTCCGAGCTCTAAATATTGTATTTTTCATCACATCACCCAACAAAAATCCAGCACTCCAAGGATTAATATAAATGGTCTTCAAGTGTGCAGTGAATGTTCTCTTTTGTGGAAATGTTGTGTATTACAGACCCTGTCACATCTACTGAATTTCTTGTTGTGTTTTGTTTTCTTGAATCCCATAGCACTGTAGCAACAGGCACCTACATTAAAAAGAAACTCACCTTGAATTTGGTTCATTAGTCACCAAAGGTATGGCTCTCAATCCCTGGGGTTTCTCTGAGGGTTGCTGTGGTTCTTGGGGCCTATTTCCAAATACTTTATTTTATTTTTAGCTTGTGGGATGTAGTTTCATATTTATGAAGTATGCAAATTACAAAAGCTCTTCGGCGCATGGGAACCACAGCTCAGTCTGTAGGACTCACCGGACCATTCAGTCAAGCTCAAGCGATTGCAGCTACCTGGGAACAAATGAGCAACCAGTGTGCATCCGATGAATAGTAGTGCACCCTACACACCACCATGAGGATGGACTCAAAGGATGCTAACTCATCTGTGAAGTGCCAATTTTCACTTAGTAAACCAGGCATAAAAGTGCTGTAAAATAACACGCAACCTCTTGTGGCCAAAGTCAGAATTTGAGATTTCTGCTATACCTCAAAGGTTTCCAGAACCTGGAACATCTATCGGGCATTCTTTGGTTTATTATTTTGGAGACAACATGCATATCGTTGTTAACAAAAAGTGTGATTTTTCCATGGAAAATCATCTAGCTGTGGAGGCAAAAGCTTTTTGAATGGGTGGCCAACTGTTGCTGACAAATGAAATTCTCTCCTTCTGGAATAATAGGGTCCGTTTAAGAAAGGACTTCACATGGTACCTGCCTGAACTGCTTTGCTTTGAAGATGAAGATGCTGAGGCAGTGAAGGATAGAATCATTGACATAAGTGCTCACACAAACCAAGGACTAAACTGTCCAGCATACTGGCATACTATGATTGTTATGACTAAGATAGGCAAGCTCTATTCTAGAAAATCCTGGCATTCAGAAAGAAGAAAAATAAATGTCTCCAATTCCTCCACTCTTAAGTAATTATTTTGGAATGTGTTTTCTTGAAGTCTTTTTCATTATTTTATTTGTACAGTTAGATTTTCTTTTTTTTTTTTAAGATTTATTTATTTATACAAGCACTGGAGTACAGGCCAGAGGTGTGGGAGGGTGAGAAAATTCACCAGAGACAGAGCGGGGAGCAGAACAGGCAGACTGACGAAATACACTGCTGAGTGGAGCAGCGGGAGAGGCAGGAAAGGTCTGAGCACCATGTGGGAATCTCCCTGGCTGGCTGGGAATTGAACCCACACTGCAGAGGCTGCAGACAGCTTCACAGCACTGCGCTCAACCCACTGCGCCACCGGGGTGGGGGGGGGGCCCTACAGTTAGATTTTCTAAGACTCCCAATTCCTATGACATATTCTTACTTACTTAGATATTTATTTAGTTCATTAAATAAAAATATATCTAAAGTGACTACCTGAAAGTATTATAAATGGAATGGTATTGATTGCAATAGTACTGGGTTGCCAAGGTTCTCTGTCTACATGGTATAGACAGTCTTTTGAAAATGCTTTCCTGGAATGAATTAAACACTGTTGGGTATTAGCCTGTCTGCAGAACTTACTTTAAAGCCACATTTTTGTCAGATCTCATATTTATGCTTACACCTGCCTCCTCTCCTCCCCATCCAATGACTGGGCATCGAATCAACGTGTGGATTCAGCCCCAAGGCCCTGGGTCATGAGAAGCGGCACTGTCCCTCCTGAGCACAACCCATCCCCTGTGCCATCACTCCCCTCATAGTTGCTCTGAGAGAGGGACTGCTGTGACCCATTTCCTGAAGAGAGACCTGGGACTTCGGGAGCAAGAGCTCAGTGCCCCTAATGTCTGATTCAAGGGGTGAGATTTACAATCCTTAGAAGACCGTTAAATCAGACCTGAGGTTTGAATTGTCAGCAGAGGCTGGGTGAGGGGCAGTAGGACTGGACTGAACGGGGTGGGGGGGCATAGGGTGTGAGACTGGATTATGTCTCCTGCACCTCCATCTGCTGGAAGCCTATAGCTCTGCATTCTCACCCCACTAGTGGACTCTGGTTCTGGGAACGTAGACGGACACAGAGAAGTCAGCAAACTAGATGTTCTGATCTGAAAGCTGGAATCCAGGTGCTGAGTTTCCGAGAGAATCACATTTGCAGGATGCAACCTAGATTGGGGATTTCATTTCATTAGGTTTTTCTCAACCACTCAAGGCCTCCAAAGGCAAAGTCCACAACACCCCTTTATAACTTCTCTTTCTTTCTTCTCTGCCACTGCCAGCACTGAGGGCATTTATACCCTCCAGTCCCATAAGCGCCCCCGCCCCTCTGCCCCGCCTGCCTTAGCCTCTTGCCCCCCATCAAGATCCAGCTACATCTTCCCCTCTTGCTCTCCTTTCCCATGGAGCTACCTGGGAGTATGTTCGATCTGGTCTCTTTTCTTAAAGAGACTTGTTGCATAATTTCTGCCCTTTTTTGTGCTCCAAAATTAGGGACGGGGTGAGGCCAGAAAAGCCAAGTTGGCAGTTCTGAAACTTTTCTTTATTTACGGAAGATCAAGTAGGAAAATGCCGAGACATCAAAAAGGCTGTGTCCTTCCACAGAGGGGGGTCTTGCCCCCACGCTGTGGCCTGCAGGAGCTGTCTAGCATCCTGCAAGCCTTGTGCCCATCTGCCTTCCTCAGCACAGGGGGTAGCTCCTGACGGGCTGTCTCTGCAGCAAAGTCACAAACGGAAGGTGATCTGCGAGAGGAGCCCATGTGGAAGAAATGGAAATTGCTTCTCACCCTTAGACCTGCGCATCTGCAGCCCGATCAGTGGGGAGGGACAGGAGACTTTGATTCGAGGAAGACCACCACGTCTGCATCAAGGCCAGGTCCCTACCCACAGGGTGGAGGAGAGAAACTAGCTGCTTGGCTGCATGAATGAGCTCTGAAAATCTTCATTAACAGAGGCATTAAGATAATGGGAAAATAATGATACATGCAGAAGAGTTGCTTTCCTTATAATGTAGGGATTCGATCAGAACATCTTTTTCCCCATCCCGCCCCTCTGGGTAGTTGAGGGGACTCTTGGGGGTTTTAGGTTCTCACTCAGATAGAGGAATATTAAAACGAATTCAGTAACTTTAGTTCACTATCTACCAATCTCTGAATATTATATATGTGGAGAGACAGACTGGCTTCCCCCTCAGCCCCTTTCCTGTCCACCTCCATCAGTCCTGGCAGAACTGCGGGACTCTTTGCCCAGATGAATAAAAAGATGGAAGACTTTTTTGGTGGCGGGCAGGGGTGAGGGGGGGTGGCATAAAAGCACATTAGAATTAACCAGGCATGTCAATTTGTGCTCTAAAAGCTCCAGTCTGAAGGTCAAAAGCAGTCAAGGCTGCCTTCAGTTGAATGCCTCCCCCCCCTCCCTAGGACAGCCTCCTGACCCAAGGACCCCACAGGACGCAGCCAGGAAACCCCCGGCAAGAAGAGACCCCCTGTGATGTGGAGAAAAGAGTCACTGAGGCTGGAGCCAGTCACGCAGAGGGGAGGACAGTGCATTAGTTCCCTTGAAGCCTGAGTGGGTAGTCGGTCTCCCATGAGCCTGCATTTCAGGTAACGCGCCCACTGCCCTAGCGCACATCATAACAAGGGGTAACTATTTTATGGGAGTGCCATTGCATACAGGTTTTTATTCCATCAAAATTTTAAACTAGAAGAGCAAGCTCTCCTTAAAAGGTCCGGGGTGGGGAGGGGGGATGGGATTCATACCTTTAAAGTCACGTACTTGGTGGTCATCCATTTTTGCTTTTGTGGTTGAGTCACAGCCTGATGTGAGCCCTGGCTCTGCACTAGTTGATGGCATGACCCGCTAGCTGTGGCTTAGCTGTATCACCCCGAGAGATATGTTTATGTTCTATTCCCCTGTATTTGTGAATATGGCAACACACTATTGACTTTAAGAGGTCTTTTCTCAATCTCTTGGCCAGTGCCTCTTTCTCAGACCTCAGACCAAGTGCCCTAGTCTGGGCCGATCTCTCAGTTGCCTGGGAAGTCCCCCTGGTGAGAAAAGAGATTTGAGGGTCACCAAAGCATTCAGTGCTACAGACCCTCAGTATTGGGACAGCGCGCAGGATTCAACACAGCTTTAACTTTCCATCCACCTCTACGAGCCAAGCCCTCTAAATTTACTCTGCCTCTTCTGAGAGCTGCCAGGGATGTTTGCCATCGGGATTTCTCCGTTGGACATCAGTCAAATGTGTGAAAGCTCCTCCATAAAACTTTTGGAGGAGAGTTTCTGTTCTCTGAGAGAATAAGTTGAACTATGAAATATATTGAGATCTACTATGAATATATATTGTTGTCTGAATGTCTCAAGAGTAAAGCACTTATAAGACCTATAATTCTTGCCATTAATAGCAGACCTTTAGTTTTTCATTTCTACTCATTTTTATATAATTAGTACAATTTTTATCCCAATTATACAGATAAGACAATAAATTGAGCAAAATTCAAGTGAATTTTCCAGCTAACAGAGTCAGTAAGTCATGGAGCTGGGCTATAAATCCAGTGAATCAGCTCAGGACCTCCAAGCTCTTAGCCTCCAGCTGCAGCATACAAACCTCTAGAAAAGTTAAAGCAAGATACTAGCAGTGGGTTTGTTTTGAAATGGTCCATTTTCTTTTTTATCTTATCTGTAAAACATTATAAAAATGACATAAGTATATAGCATATTTATATAATGAATGTCACTGAAAAAATAACCCATTAATGGTAATTGGGAAAAGTATACAACCTTAGAAAGGATTTTTACAAATCTTCGTTTCTGCCTACTGAATTCTCAAATGCATTTCAGGGCTACTTTGCATCACTATTTATCTGCCTGTAATCTTTTTAAATACTCAAAGTTCTAATTGTTTAGTTGCTTAATGAAACCGATTCCCTTTGAGATGCTCTAACAAGCTTAATAAAGCCTTTCAAAAAGAGCTGAGTAACCAGTTAAATGGAATTATATCAACATGACTATTAGTGTTATAAGTCAATTTTGATATTCCTGGAATTCATAATTGGTTGTGATTTTCTGACGCTGGGACAAATGAATAGCTCATGCTTCTCAGTTTGTCAGCACAAAAGAAAGTCACTGTAAAGCTTTACTTCCTGATATGTATTTCATCATGAGATGTTGGAAAACATACACTTTCAAATGCTGAACAGACACTTTCACAAAAGGTCGTGCTGACCACTAGAAAATTGGCTGATATAGATATATATAAAACTCAAT